CCCTGAACCATTGGTCTCTACTGATTGCATTCTAGTTGTTGACTTTGTGATCTTTTTGACTGGTGTAAAGACTCTTTTTGACTTGCTTTGCTGCAAAGGTCTTTTAGCCTTTGTCTTTTCAACCCTTGGTCTTAATTTTAGTCTCTCCGTTCATAAAGTGGTATCTCAGCTTGAGGGTTGGGTCATTTATTTTGGCTTGCTTGATGTTACTGCGTTCCCTGCTGAGTTTAACGACTTCTTGTGAAATCCATGCCAACTATGACATACACCACCAAAATGAAATAAAATATACTTTTCCAAAATTATACATGTATATAGTCACGTAAGCTGTGTTAAAGATTTAAAGTTTCGTAAGACGGGGGGGGGATTTGTTGAGCGTGACGTTGAGAAGTGTATAGCATTTCAAATGAGAATACCAATGTTTCCATCCATACGGCAGCACATCTTTTTTTTCCAGACTAGCTACCATAAAAGGAATTTTCCCTGTTGTATGGCTTTTAGACGAAAGAGTATCTTGATTTCAGCAATTAAACATACGTTGTAAGGGACAGGACAGTAATTTGTACTGATATCAAAGTAGAAAAACCACCTCCAGGTAAGAAATGCATTTTGCACGAAACCATCTTGGTTTTCCAGAAATGGACGTTGCCATATCGCGGCTTCCAGATATAAACTAGGGATCTTGATTTTAGTGACAAAACCTACAATCTTAGGGTCAAGGCATTTAGGGTTATAATTTGTGAACTAAAATGTGGTTACAGTGCAACGAAAAACAAACTTCATCATTTATGAAATCCTCAGGGAATGAATGAACCAAAATGCATCTCTATCTTATGAAGTGAATTAAGTCCTCTTGCGAAAAGGGTGAGGGGAGGTATTCCCGGTTGTTTTAAAAGCACGAACTTTGTGTGTGTGCATGCCATAAATTATGTAGCCAAACCATCATAAAATAAGAAATTGTCTGGGCAAGAACCTTATAGGATTCTCGTCATTTTTTTTCCTTAGAGAACCGCGATAACGGTGGAACTTCCGACAACAACGGTGAAGCCGACCACACTGGGTGAGTTTGATGATTTTAGGGCGTTGCTGAGTATTTTTGTATTCGGTGGAACGATCTTGGAGTACTTTACGGTTCCTTGGCCATGAGGTTTTTTGAGGTACTGGAATCCGGTCCCTTGGTGTCTGTAACCGGCAGCCACTCAGTCAACTTGTGCCTTCAGAAGTGATTTTGTCTTCGGTTCTGTTGCATTTAGTGGTTAATGAATAAATAATGCCCCTCTAAAGTTTCCACGGGGTCGAGTTGAACAATTAGTCTGTCTAATAATTAGAATGGCGTATAGATGGATAAACAGTACCAACTCCACAATCTTTATAATTCTTGGGTTATCACGACATTGTGACCAAACGTGCAAGCTGACGTTGGTTTTACACTAACAGAGCCCAACGAATGTGAGAGCAGCCCTTGCCAGAATGGGGGCGTGTGTAACGACGGTCTGGGCAAGTTCACTTGCGACTGCGCCCCTGGATACGAGGGAGTCACATGCAACGTTGGTAAGTTTATAGGCTGCATCCGCATCTGTTGTCCAGAGCTAGGTCTAGGTCTTCACTCCATTGGAAATGGGTGGAGACGCGTAGACAATAGACCTAGCCGTAGCTCTAGAAAGCCCGTTACCGCCACCACCTTTGTCTAAACACAGAGGTAGGAAAACAGACTGCTCTGGGAAACCCGATTCGAAAAATGAGAAGGGCTAATCTGAGCACAGCCCAGAATATATCGCAGCGGAGTAATGGTCCGAGACCGGCAAGTGCACGCATTGCTGTGAGGGTCAACTCGTTTATTGTTGCCATGAGATACGCATCCTTGAGAATCGCTGGCGACAAGAACGACCAGTAAGCCTAGCAGCGAGATTCATAGCAACCAGTGTCAGGCATCTTGCGTTTTCGCGTTTGATACGAGGTCCGTTTCTTTTATAATGTCTGTGGCGCAATATTCACTCCCCATTTGCTGTCGAACGTTTAAACTTTCAAGGAATTATTGGTGGCAAAGTAGGCCTATGCTCAATAAGCTCAGTAAGATTCACTACACTGTGAATGAAGCTATCACAATCTCCACAGTTATACCTTTACCACAGATTGAAAGCCTACTGATACAGTGCTGAAATAACCCATTCCGTACATTATTTCGTACCACATTATCTTACCATGTACTCTTTGCTCCGGACAATGTAATCTATGGGCGCCCTCTCCCGTTTCTGATCACCAATATGTTCCTGTGGTCTACTTCCCAGATACCAACGAGTGCAGCAGTGGGCCCTGTCAGAACGGTGGTAGCTGCGTAGACGCCGTGAACCGGTACTCCTGCACCTGCTCAGCTGGCTTCGATGGAGTCAACTGTCAGATCAGTGAGTTCAATGATTCTTTTTTACCTCCTCCAAAACCTTTTCATCTAGACACAAATGATCTGGTTTATGATTTTAAACCTTTCTCTGTCCACATCTACTTTGTTTACGTAGGGACAGATATAGCCCTGTGTACTGCCTCATTCATCTTCATGGACTACAGTGGGAGAGGGTTTTTATTTCCTGGCACTTTGACTTAAAATAAGATGCGGTCCTTAGCTACACGGTATCAAACCCACACAAACCTATATTTTATGTCTTGTTACACATAATCACTGTTTCTGACTAGTACCCCCCGAACTCAGATCTGGTTGGCAAACTCGAAGATTGCTTGCGTGATAAGTTTAAATTTCTCCATTGGCCCTAACTATTGAGCATTGAGCCACAGTTCGGTAAATTTCTGAGTCGAGTAAGTGATGATAAAATGAGAACATAATTACTGTACGCATTCCAGAATTACAGAACACACTAGAATAGTTTTAACGGGTAACCCTTTTTCCTGATTTGGCTTAGAATTCTCTCTTACCATCACGATTTCCGGTTTGTCATTTTTTTCCCTTCAGACGTCGACGAATGCAGCAGCAATCCGTGCCAGAATGGTGGCACATGCGCAGACGGCATCAACAAGTTCACTTGCTCTTGTGAGGCCGGCTATGCTGGGACGCTCTGCGACGGAAGTGAGTGGATTTGTCGCATAAATAACGATTTATTTTCCCTTCCAACGCCATCGAAAAGGTTTTTTTTTATTTAGTGAGTTTCATGTATTTTAGTAACAAAAAACGCCAATTAATCAGTAGGTATACGTTTTAGCAATAATATAGATTTTTTTCTCACAAATTCTTCCATCAAGAGTTCAGTACATAACAGCTTTATAAGATATCACATGCGGATATTTCAAAAAGAACAGCTCCAGTTAAAGTATCAAATTCACAGCATCGTAGTAGTATCATAAAATAACAAGGTTGAGCCGCACAGCTGTGTGATTACAACATTTCTGTTTCATTTTATATAGGCACCGATGAATGTGCGAGCAACCCTTGCGTGAATGGCGTTTGCAATGACCTTGTCAACAGTTTTAGCTGTGCCTGTTCTGCCGGCTATGAAGGCACACTCTGCGATACCAGTGAGCATCAACTTAAGAGTTCTTCCAGTTAAATTACAATCTTTGTCTCCCGACCGCCACACCGAGTTCCATTGTACAATATACACCCGTCTGCAGTACTTATTTCGTTTTTCTCAAATACCTTAAAGGGGTGGCTTAAAATCAACAGAGGCGCGTCTTCAATACTGCATTTCGGTGTGTTGGTTCACTTGACCGAGTAATCCAAAGTTACCTATGTAATCTGTAGAGTGATGCCAGTCTATTTTATAAACAAATCCTTTACTAAATGTATTTGAAACATTGGCTTTTGAAGGTAATTAATGCTATGGAAAACAAACAACAACTGCTCGTTCATAAGATGCAGTTTTGCCATTTATGAGTTGTTGAGAGTCATTGAAGATTTCTGCATGAAGTTAAAAAATGTACATGCTGCTTGATATTTATCAAGCTTAAACATGTGACAGGTTTACAATTTCTACGTCTTTGTTGGCAGGTTTAATTTAAGCAACGCCTTAGCATTGTTCAGCCGGAGACCTGTTACACTATATCAATGCATAATTTTCAGAGAGAATAAGGAACAATCTGTCTTTACTCTTTGTCATACACATGACAGACATTAATGAGTGTGCCAGCAGCCCTTGCCAACATGGTGTCTGTAATGATGGAGTCAACAGCTTCACATGTACATGTTCCGCAGGATATGAAGGAACTTTGTGCAACACAGGTAGGTTTTCACTGCATAAGTGATATCCCGCGATTGTTTGCAAGCTACAGAAAAAAAGGTTAAAAGCTTAGAACTTTGCCAAACTGATCCTGTTTCGTCAGGAAGCGAATTAAACTGTCAGGCCGGTTGAGAACCAGTTTACAATGTGACGTCAAGGCAAATTTCCGTGTAGCAACATCCGAAAAGTTGAGCACATTCCAACTTGGGCGTACTTCGCCACACATGCTTCGCGGGGTCAATTTTCAGGCTTGTATTCTGTTACCTACCTATGACAGAGACCGATGAGTGTGCCAGCAGCCCTTGCCGACATGGCAACTGCAATGAGCAAGTCAACGGCTTCACCTGCACATGCTCGGCAGGATACGAGGGAACCTTGTGTAACACAAGTAGGTTTGCACTGCTTAGGTGGTATTCCTGAATGAGTGACGATGTAGACAGAAATAATCATTGCAAACTATTAAATCTTGGACTCGGTGTTGTCTATTAATCACATTCACACTTGGCGCGTAAGCTCTGTGAACGCGAATAGACACACAAGCGGCGTAGCCTAGGAGCCTTACGAGAAATTGCTGCCCACCACTCAAACATACAGAATTCTATTGAGAGAAGTACATCTTTACGCCCCGCCATTCCCTTACTCCCCTGTGGTGAGAACCAGTTAGATTTTCATGCTACTAATTCCCAAGCTTCTCGTTATTCGAGATATCAACGAGTGCAGCAGTTCTCCCTGCGTGTACGGGACCTGCAATGATCTCGTCAACTCCTTCACGTGCTCATGCGTCAGTGGTGCTCGCGGCACTCTCTGTAACATCGGTGAGTACGCTTCTGTGATACCTTCTGATTTATGCCTTCGTGGTCTTTCATCTACCTTGAGCAGAAGCATCCATTCATCGGTTGAAAAGAGTCATGTTTGGGGGAAATGTTTATTTGGTTGGCAGAGCATGCATTACATAGTGGTTCGTGAACCAGCGATGTTCAGCCCCTACCAAAGGAGCTTACGTTGTTAGGATACTTGCGAGCTCTCTTGGTCCCGCTCAGGGCTTATACACAACGCAAACACCAGGAGTATATTCGATCAAAGACACGGGTTATTTCTCCAATTATAGCAACGACAACTTCGACAATAATGCTAGCTTTACCAACAACTGATCGAGTCTGATCGAGATCTGATCGAGCAATTACTTTGTGCAGTCCGTTTCTGTGACTATCCCGATAGGGACCATACTCAAGGGATTGAAAGCAAAGTTCAGATTGTTCGGGGACTTGCGGAGACATACATGTAGCAGGTTGACAGTTGGGCTATGCAAAAGGACTTATGAATATGTTCCATAACGGTATATGAAAAGTGCTTGGGTGCGTTTTGGTTGCAAGCATTTTGCAACGACACTGGACGGTATCAAGATGTTCGATCGCTGCTTAATGTTCATTCAGTATTTCTCCACCGAAAATACTCCTTTCCATAATTTTTTAAGAGTTACCATCGTAAGGGATGCATCTTTCAAGACCTTATCAACCTTTTAACGATCGCTGCTTAATGTTCATTCAGTATTTCTCCACCGAAAATACTCCTTTCCATAAATTTTTAAGAGTTACCATCGTAAGGGATGCATCTTTCAAGACCTTATCAACCTTTTAACACGATCAGCCATAGGTTGATGTGACACGAAGAAGGAAAAGACGTACAGAATACCACAAAATGCAAATGATGTTGATGGTACTGCTCTTAGTAATACAGATCTCCATTACCTTGTATTGATGGAATTAAATTGAGCCAGACATGTTTCTGATTTGATTTCTGTAGAGCCAATCCGTTTGGCTAATGGTCCGTCGGCAAATGAGGGGAGAGTGGAGGTGTGGTACAATGGAGCATGGGGCACCGTTTGTGATGATTTATGGGACATGACCGACGCCAATGTGGCCTGCCGTCAATTGGGCTACCCCTATGCCACCAACACCTATAACTCGGCTGCTCACGGCGCCGGCACGGGATCCATCCACCTGGACGACACTAATTGCGCCGGCACAGAAATAAGTCTGGGTAGCTGCCCGCACGCTGGCTGGGGCTCGCACAATTGCGGGCACGGTGAAGATGCCAGTCTGAGATGCTTTCAGAGTATGTATTCAGGGGCAGGTCCAAGGAGTGGTGGGGGGCGCACGCCCCCTTTTTCACACCCGAAATAAAACAAATAAATGAAAAAGAGGAAAAAGAAGGAGATGAAAAAAGGGGCCATGCTGCCTGAAATCGCACCACAGAGCGCCTAGACTCCAGTTCAACCCTAGAATCCCTTAATCTGGCCCCGGACCTCACGCCGTAAGGGCTTTGTGCTACGCGCTTGCGGGCATTTTACCATTGCTGCCTTTAGTTCACGCCCCCACCCCGGAAAATCATGGATCTGCCCCTGGTATTAGTTCTAAACCAATTAAAGTGTCAGCTTCTCTCTGGTCGTCACACTGTGTTTTCATTACCCTTTATAGTCGATCATAAAACAAAAATAATTACACACTGCCCATGCATGGTGAATTTCAACAGGGCACCCAGAATCTTACCCAAAGTGCCTTGTGAAGTTGTGTGCAGATTTTTAAATTAAGGGATTGCCTTTGATTGGACAGCAGTTTTTAGATAACAAATTGACATTATCACTAAGGAAAATACCTTCCACGAACAGTTTCCCTGTGTTCGTTTAAGGTGGTAGCATTCGCCTCGTGAATGGTCCACTGCCAAACGAGGGACGGGTGGAAGTGTACTACAGCGGCGCCTGGGGAACAGTCTGCGATGACGGCTGGGACATCAACGACGGCCAGGTAGCCTGCCGGCAACTCGGCTACCCGTCCGCCGCCCGAGTCTGGTCTTCTGCAACCCATGGGCAAGGGACGGGGGCGATCCACCTGGATGACCTGGCATGCTCTGGCAGTGAGGCTAGCCTTGGAGCATGCAGCCATAGCGGATGGGGTAACGAAAATTGTGGGCACCACGAAGATGCGAGCGTCAAGTGCAACCTGACGTAAGAAGAACTCAATTTCAGGAAATCAAGTGGAAATATCATCACATTTTCACTTTTCATTACATATTACATGAGTCCACAATCACCACCTTTATGTTACAAGCATGGAGCAAGAACCTATGGAAGGTTAACAGTGATATGATATACTCTGGTAACTTCCTCCGTGAGTTACGTAGTTCTGTTGATAAAAACTTAAAACTTGTCTATGCGCAAAAACTTAAGCGAAACCTTATATGCATTGTTGCGTATCTGGGATGTTATACCATATATGCGAGTTAAAATCTACTAATGATAACGTTTGTCAGATGTTTAAAATTGGCTGCCAATACAAAAGGAAAAGAGCCTATGGCCATTTCGAGGCAAGGAAGATGAGATCACTGGTGATTCACATTACAGTGCGTCACCAAGAAATCACGGAAAGGCCTTTTTCGCAGTGCGTTGTGGGAAACGGTCGCCAATTCAGCGCTCGGAAGAATTGAATTAATCCTTATTATTTTCTTGGTATAAGATTGTTAAGTGCATTTCGAGGAGGAGCAATTTTTAAATTAATCTTTTCTTCTGTCTATCGCATGGATTTTCTCCATCTATGACCCCCCCAAGTTGTCTCCCAAAAACCCAAATACAAATCGCGACAAGACCGCCGTGCTTCTGTCTACCGTAAACTTGCAAACTAGCCTTCCCGTGGCAACCCCTTGGGGCGCATTGTATTGTGGATTGCCTTATCCAGCTACGGGTTACATTTCTGCAAACTTTGGCCGCCCATAAAAATGTTGGTCAATTTTTTGAAACATAAGAAAGGTCTATTGTTTTTGTCAAGTTCACGCTAACAATAATTTGTGACCGTCATGTTTGCTGCCCCAAAGCGACTCAAAGGGTTCCCAGTAGCTTTAGAAGATTATTAGATAAAACAATGCTGTTTAGAGAATACAGGACTTAAATGTGGGATTTAATGTGCTGTCACAAATAACCAAAGAACTTAACCGCAACTTGTATCATTTTCAATTAAAGCCAGACGTTCGGACTGCACCACTAGTCCCCGTCTAGTACAAAGATGTTTACATAGGAAGTGGAGTTGACTTCAGTTAATTGAAGATAGAAGGTTATAAATATAAAGACAAGAGGCAATGCAAGCGATTAAGAGGAAGAAGCAAACCAACGTGTAATAATCTGGTTTCACATGCCTTATGAAAGGTTTGTATTTTTGTTGTATCTGTAGCTTCTCTCTTTATTATCAATTTATCTGTTGTAAAGAAACTGGTTTGCAAATGTATTTTTGGAGAGTTTGAATGTTTCTTATGTACATTGAAAGGGACATATTTGAATTGTGTAATACTTACTTGAGTATATTTTAGTGATTTCTGTTTATTAGAGTTAGAAGTGCTTAATTTTCGATTGTAGTATCATGATACGTAAAGGATCAGTGCAACGAATTTTTCGAAGATTCATATTTTGTGAACTTCTTCAATGGATGAAAACTTTGAATTTGGAAACTTGCGCGTACTCTGGGTGTATCGTTTCGGAATTAGAGTGCGTTATTAAAAATGGTTTTTAAATAGTCGTCGGCAATATCGTTTCCCAAAAATGCAAATGGCGTCCAACTGCCATCCGCACCTCTTATGAAAACAAGGTGAAGTAAATAGGCCTAATGGACTCAAGATAGCTTAGGAAACGGCTTGGCCGTTATTATCGCGGTAAACCTTCGTGATGAATCCCCGTCACTGCGGAAAGGCAACGTGGCTGATGGTGACAATGAACTTGTTACCGTCACGGTATGAAAAACAAACTAAAGATGTTTATCATTTTATGAAACGTTGATTGAAGACTCTTACCCAGAGCTGCCAGTTTCGGAACTAAGGATACTTTACTCCACAATACACAGCGTATTTGCATCCTTCACTCATACAACGATTACAGATTTGTTTCTGAATTGGAGCTTTTCAAATAAGCTGTTTTATTATCAATTAAAGTGCATTGACATCAGCGTGTCACCAACAACTGCAGTCAACTGCATTAAGTAATGTCTAACTCAACTGCAAAGTGATCGAAATATTTGGATGTTTCCAACGGTAACTTTGGTGACTAAAGGTAACATCAAAGTTTTGTGGATTTAAGTTGCTGAGGTTAAAGGGTTTAGTTCAAGTCTAACTCCTTATGAGTAAGCCATGATAGTCATCTGGCGCATGTTATTGAGGCCTATTCTTCATCCCAACAGGGCCGGGTATTTCAACAGAGATTGTCCACGTAACACCGTGTGCACCACTCAGCATTGCGCTCGCGCGTCCACTGAACGGCCAACACGTCCCGCGTTATCCTACCGGTGATCATCTGTCACTAAGTCACTGAATGTGATTCGAATGGTCTCGCCTGTGTGATCCTGCTGCTTACCTTCTGTCACTGAGTCACTGCAAGCGACTCGATGGGACAAAATTGAAGTTTGCAAAACGTGCCGTTCAATTTCATGAAACGAGTAACACCGCGCGCGCGCACGTCACAGATTACAAAGGGCCAGTGGATCTTGTCATGTAACCTTTCACTGCCTGTCTGATGGGCGAGGCCACATTCTGTGACATTTTACATGCTTTTGAGAGCGGGGAAGTGAAATAGACCAATGATTGCCTCTCTCCCTCGTTATTGAAAAACAAGCAACATTTTGACTCCTTTTAGGGCAAGCTATGGCCGCTTGGAAGACGAAACCGCCCTTGCGGGTGAGGACTTACCACCAAATTGTTTGGTTAAGAAAATATAGGCACGAGAAAGCATCGTGGGGTATTTGACAGTCTCAGTCAATGCACGTTTGCTCCCCCCACTGACACATGCGCACATCGAGTGTGACTCAAGTTCTTATTCTAACCATTACAATGAGTTGAGGAAAAATATACGTCAGGGATCCAGACAAAAAATCCCTAAAACGCCTTTTAAGGGCCGCTGACCGAAAACCGCGGTAAAGGAATTCCGCACGATAACACACCTGGAGCACACTTGTTGCCTATGACGGAGAAAAACATCTCGAGAGGACGATTAAAACGGCATGTTTAGAAACCTCGGCGATTTTTAAAAGTTGAAACAGCACGTTCTGGCCATTCAGCGGCCTTGTCATACATGCATGACGTCGAGTAACGGACGGCCTGCATTGTAGGTTGGGTGCCTTTTCGTTAAAATTGCTTTCTTTTTGAGGGCGCTGTTGTTATTGTGGACACTCAATAATTTGCATGTATCTAAATTTCAAATATCGCATGGCATACCGTTCTTTGCCAACCATTCGTCTGTGTAAATGGCCCCCCAGTTTGCGAAACAATTAATCCCGCACGTTGTCACTGGGCATTGGCAATGGCCCCCTCCGATGGAATGTTGGATTTTGTCTGCAAGGGTTGCCACGAAGTACCTGCCACGTACAGTATAGTCTTTTCAAGTAGGTTTTCGCTCAACTCCCAGGGGGCGTCCTATGAAAGCCTCGGGGTGCAGACGGGATGCGCGCTTCGCCTAAGTAAGTAACCACCACCATCAATCATTGAGCAGCAATACACTGGACTTCCAGGGTACCTGTACTCCCCCATTACTAGAGTACACTTAAATTGATTGATCACTTCCCTCAAACTGTACCTGACCGTGTCGCACCCCTTGACTAAGCTCCAACTGTATGCTGAAAATAATATTTATGAAGCCTGCTTTGTCGGTCCATATCAGGTTTGCTGTAGGTCTAATGAAGCCAATCATGGTCTTCTGTGTTACAGTCGTCAGTCGGGCCCATTACAGAGTCGATGGGTGGATTTTTCAGCGGCAACAGCACGCGAAATTTATTCCCGTTAAAAATTAATCGGGCCATGGGAAGAAACGGCAGGTCTAACTACATTCGATCGACACTGGCAAAATAATTCTAAGTCTCTGACCGGCCACCTACTGTAGCAGTGATGTGTTCTGATCCCGCGAAATATTTCACTGCCAATCGGACGGTGATCAACATGACAATATTGCGAAAATATTATCGATTTTTTCCCCACCAGATATGTCTGTCAGTCTGCAAAAGCGCTGTTGTTTCTAATGATGAAAGGACTCACGACACGTTATGTTATACGGATGTCTTCTATCTACACAGGCACCATTCGAAGAACTGTAGGTAATTTGGATTGCCATTTGAAAAAAAACATGTCAGTGTACGCGTACAAATTACTTGAAATGTTTCGCTAGAGCATTCAGCGCAACTCCTATTGTGACAAAGGGCATTAATTTTTAATCTCATTGATTTTTCAATCTTATGTTTTTTCTTTATTACTGAATTTGACAAGTCAATGTGACTTATTCATGGGAGGAGCATGGTCAAAACGAGCCTCGGCTTCGTACCTCCCTTTACCGGTGGCTTATTATCATAGCCACTACGTTTAGAAATAAAACAAACAGAATCCCGATTACTTGTGCAGTGTCTGACTCGATAGTGACGGGGTTGATCATAATTGATTGACAACTTGGTTAAGTGGCTTTACGTGAAATAGTGAGTGGCGTAGACGGAATTCCAATTCCCGCAAGTACAATGTGAAGGTTCCAGCAAATAGGCGTGCATTGGTGTTCAGGATTTCAGAATTATCGCGATGCGTTGAAGTCGACGGTAAAGGCAGAGACTTCGTGACGCAAGAGAAGTAAAAATAATGGATCAGTGAAAGTTCTCGTGGATTCCCGGGGCCGTGTCAACGCTCACTAGATTTATCGAAGTGGAAAGTTAGCAACGTGGCATTTCACCGACCTTCCTCGCCTGTGCCATGGTGACATGGATATGCTCTGACAAGTAGTCGATCAGTACATTGACATGCGCAACCCTGCTCAGTGAATCAGCTAAAACGCGCACACCCCGTGTTGAAACTGCGTTCGCTGTCCCACATGGCAGGTTGTGGTTTTTCTGCGGTATACCCTCGCAGTATGAAAGTGTCAACAGTACTTCCTGGTTAGGGCACTGGATGGCAGTTTCTTGAACTCTTGTTTTCGTGGCAAGCTAGGAGAATGTCGCAGTTGCCATTCGAAGAATTCAACCACTGACGTTAAATGTCTGTTAATATTAACATGACAGCCGATTCCAATTTAGTTTGTGATTACACCAGCGTGTTCTCCGTGAAACTATTAGAGTACCGCGGAAGTGTGTTATTCGATCGACCTAGGCTTGGGTATTTAAGCTAAAGGGAAAGTAACAGCGGTGTTTTGAGTTAATCTTACCGCGGGGTCCAAAGAGGATGGAGGAAGGAGTTGATACCCAAACCGCCCCAAACTGGGGGATGACCACCGAAAGCTCGGACAATGTCACCGCGTTGTCCGTCTTCAAGGCTTGTGTAATAGGCGTGATCACCGTCTTTATTCTCCTCGGCAACTCCATGTGCTTGATCGTCCTGCGCTATACGCACGACGGAGTCAGCCCCGTCACCAAACTGTTCCTGATATCGCTTACCATCAGCGATCTGTTGGTCGGTGTGCTCGTCGGCATTCCTGTCGTGGGGTCGACGGCCCTGCAGAGCTGGCCGTACGGGGACACCTACTGCACCGTGGTTGCCATGTGCCACGCGCTGTACTTCAATGCTGGTTTGTCTGTGCTTGCCATCAACATCGAGCGATACATCGCGGTCATATGGCCCCTTAGATACCCACTCATCGTCACCCTGGCTAGGGCGGCCATTGCAGAGGTCTTCTTCATCGTTCTGTTAATGTTGTGGACCTTACTGTATGTGCTGAAGCCAGACCGGTCGGCTTTCTATTACAATAACTTCAGCGTGTGTTTCATCGATGCTGACGTGGGCCATGATTTGACGGGCCAACTAGGTATGACTCTTTTCATTGCCTTGCCGATGTTGATCACTGTCATTCTTCACCTCAGGCTTTTCCTGTTGGCCACTCACCATGCCTCCAAAGTCAGTAACATAACCCTGGGGGATATAAACACGACATCCGGGCTGAGTGAACGCTCGGAGAGTGATGCGGAACAGCCAGCCCAACCCTCTCCGCCAGCACCACGACGCGAGGGGCGCGCACGGGCCAACTCGGACCGCGTGAGCCCGGAGACCAAGGCGGCGCGGACCTTCTTCATCATGGCCGTGGTGGCGGCCGTCTCCTGGACACCGTACTACGTGACCATATCGTGGGAAAACTTCAGCAACGAAAAGGTCCCCGATGCTGTAGCATTTGTGGCTCAAATCCTGCTGCTCCTAAACAGTCTCTGGAATGTCATCATCTACTATACAAGGAACGACGCCTTCAGGAAAACAGCCAATAGACTACTTGGCTGCTGCTTTCGAGTTCGCTCTTCTAACGAACAAAACCTTGTAACTTGAAGCAATAGCCGTTAGCCAGTGGATCTTTCAGAAGGAGATACAGACCGCTGCTGCGATTAAGTGCACTGATAGCGCCAACTTGAATCGTTAAGGGGAGCTATGATACTGGCGTCATGCTCGTGCTGTTTTGAGGTGAAAAATGAGCCACGCCCTGAAGAGAACATTGAGGCCCCTCAGAACGGATTGAGCTTGGTTATTTGTAGAGCAATATTCAGGTTTATGTGATGCTGCCCTGTAGATCGGACCGGTTCAAACAGGGTGCAGGAGGCCGTTCGACGATTTGACTGCGTCTCTTTTTGTCGATATGAAAACAAATGTTGTGTAGACAGTACGTGTGACACTGTCTCTGAAAATTGATACGTTTATTATTATTTTAATAAAAATAACTTATGAATAATTTTTTATCATACTTAATTAGGTTTAGCTAGTAAATTGCAATAGCACGAATGTCGGGGTCAAACAGTGTCTAATCCCATCACGAATCGCTTTGTATGACTCTATTCAATTTTAACAGTCTGTCATACTTAATTAATAATGAGCCACGCGGATACTTTTCTTCAGTGCTTAGTTGTTGGCCAGAAGAATTTTTGATACATTTCTAGTTTGTGAGGAAACTACTGTGTAAGCCGTGTGGGATTTGTGGGGCCGGCCTTTCAGTATGGTGATGCAAACATTTCGAGTACTTTGTTGTGCTTCGATCGTGTTGTTATATAGATTTACTGGGTTTTTTTTCACTTCTTCGTGTGGTTCCATACTGCAGGCAGTCAAATAATGAAGAAGAGAACCTAATTCTAACAAGGACACCTTGATCACTACTAGGTTTATTGAAATAACTTATTCAGCCTAAGAAGCATGATGCTGATATAACAGCTTGTATTTTACCTCCTTTTTAAGTACGTCAACTCTATAAATTATCAAACGTTGTTACCATGCCATTCGCTCGCACACGTTTAAAGTCCTCATTGTATACAGCGCATTTGAACATGTGAAACTTGCGTTTTATAAATGAATAAATTATTGTTATCAAACTCATAAGTTCTGATAAAAAGATTGACGGTTAAAAGTATGGGGTTCCTGTCCCTAGCTTGATTCTTGTATCGAAACAGCGTGAATAATGTATCCAGACTTATTTTTGGAAGAGTGAAGTTCATTTGGAAGTCAAACATTTTTTTCTGCATCGAAAATGCTCCAGCGCGTCAGCATCGGGTAACCATACATGTACATGTACATGTATACAACCGGAACCTGGGCCAATTTGTATGTTTCAGATTACGAAGTCAGGAGCAGAGTTTGTTACATTGCATTACAAACAGGTCGATTTTGCATCTGTTCACGCTACACATTGTGACATGTCACTTGGATTCCTTGAAACACGAACGCTTATTTCGTGGGTTGCTTTAAGACTTAATGTTTACGCACGATCAAGTTCAACTTGTACCAGCGGCGAGGCCAAGGCCAGGGGTTAATATGGAGACCCCCGTGGGGGGGGGTTAATACTCGGCTTCTTCTCCACTTTCGGCTGCGCCTGATTTTTGTCCCGTGACGTTGGAGTCGTTAGCTCCATTATTATAAGACATACAATTCCACCCGAACGTCGAAGTGCATTATAATCTGCCCAAATACTGAAATGATTCTGTTTCGATTTTATGAATGCCGTCAGTCTAAAAGTGGGTATCGTTTTCTGAGACGCATACTAATGAGACTGAGACGAAGTCGAAACCAATTTAAAAACAGACGGGATTTTGTAGTGCGACATGCGATGCCAGATTGCAAACTGTAACAATAATAAGCACCTCGATCGCGCGCCACGACCCCCCCCCACACACGCGCTCACCGTCAAGGAACGTGCAGAGTTCAATAAACACCACATCCTGTCATACCGTCGGTTGTCATGGATACCTTGAGAGTTTATGCGCTCTTCATCCTGCGCGTTAATCACTTCCCAGTAATGTGAAAGCGACCACAAGTAGCCTCTCGGGGCTTTCCCTGAAACCGAAATTTGAAGAAGAAAATAAAGAACGAAATCACTTACGATATTGAGGAGGCTGTAGCGTGTACTTGAAACCAGCAACGTGTTTGCGTGCACACGGCTACTGATATGAGTTATTATTCAAAGAAAATGTACATGCATAGCTATGTACGACCAAAACGTACATTCACGGTAGGGGTTTTGTGGCTATAACTGTTTTTCACCTGACATGTTCAGTTATGTAATACTGCCACGGGTGGATCCAAAATCAAATTTGTTCTGAAGACGGCAATTTTTTCGGAGTGGGGGCAAAAATGGAATGAAAGTGTGTAAACCTTTTATGGCTTTTCTGAGGGGTGGGGCTACATTATTTTTATAGGCTTTTAGCATGCTCTTTGACGAGAAGAAAAATTGATAAACCAAAAATCGCCTCTCTATAATAATAATTATTAAAAAAAAATCCTACTCTCCTGCTCCTCTTTTAGTACCTATTCGCTCCATAATTCGCCGGTGAAAAATCTTGTATGTCCCATTCTGAAAGGGACGTCATAGTGTCGCAAATGACAACTCACCGCTGAGACATTTGGTCGCTATGTTGACTTGCACAATTCACCCGGAAACGTATACTTCAACGTCTTTGCCATAGTGAAATAATTACGAGAAGGGCACAGGGGCAAACCCCTTCCCCAAGGTTACAATTTTGGTGAACACCACCCATACACAAGCCGTATGCTTTCATTGTGCTATCGAAAAACAATATGCGCACCACAAAAGGACTTTTTCAAATTGTAGGTAATGTTGCATGTGAATGGTTGTCAATTCACATGTACGCATGCGTAAAGCCAAATTTTAGCCCCCTGTTGTCAATTCTGGGAGTACTCTTATGTGGAAATTAAATTTTCAAAATATAGGTTCCCTGGCTAGTTTGAAACCTTTTCCTTTGATACATTATATTTGAATTTTCACATTTGTCCAGCGAGATTGATTCATTACACTTGCAATGGTTAGCATCGTCATTTATGATACAGTAATTTAAACAGTTAAACGTCATGTGTGTCATTTAAGCATGGGCACACATTCTCGACAAGGAGTGCGCTGTCAACGCTGAGTCAGGTCATTCAGAAAAATTCGTCTTCTGCTGCGCAATTCAGCCAGTTTCTTCAATGACATAGGCATTCTCAGTAGATGTCGTACGGGTAGCACAAAAGGCATAATCAGGCGCCATTTTCTTTTCTCCTAGTTAAATACGTTGCGATGGGATGCTTTTGAATTAATTTCCTGACAAATTTGCCACGCTTATTCTAGGATGACAACCGTTACTCATTCATTACTTCACAAATTTTTCACACCTATTTTGTTTGCAATGCTTGCCATTTTTCTCCGGAAAACTCGTAAATTCTTCCATGATGACCCCTTTATACGCGGAACCTTAATGCACCTGAAAAATTGGGGTGCTGTCAAATCCTACGCTGAAAATATCAATTGTGAAATCACTCTACAAATTTGTATTACAACATTAGTAGGCCCTAAGTGTCTGAATGAAATCAAAATAAATAGTACATGCACTATACATCCTGGCGTATACACAGCCCCAAGTTTAACTGAGCTGAGGCATGCATGCAATCACGGGACACCCTTCGGGAGTACCGGATCCGTATATATATGCAACTATGAACCTCTAAATCGTCAAATTTGTCGGTCTCTCAAATCCGTGTATATCAACCGGGTCATAGGCCTACTCCTGATTTCACTTCCGAACCAGCGTTGGTGGGCCTGTGTGTTATTCACTGTCAGTGCACCGCATGCGCGGAACAGGATCTTGGCAATACGTGTAGGAGGTTGACACATTTCTCGTACTGAGATTACTCATAAGTGTTATTTTGAGGAAGTCGTTTCCCAGTTTTCTTTACATCCTGGTTGCACTGTGCAAAACAAGACAAGTACGTGCTATTTACAACCTGCGGTGCAGCGAACGGTCGGTCGTCATCAGCCTCGTCCCCATGGTGTAGACTAGTGCGCCCCACGATTACCTGCTTTCATCTTGGAATTAGTTCGCATGAGAATTTAATTTTCAAACATTTGAATGAGGAACAGTCTGGGGCATGACTACGGAAGCTTAAATGACCATATGTTACCTCGTTACTGAGTTAATTTATCGTTGAAACAGAGAAACATTAGCCAGATGTAGAAAAATATTGAAAGGGAAGCTTAAACGCACTATACATGTAGTTATAAACAGCCTGGTGCAATCCTAATCGACAGTTTGCAATTTATAAAAATATTCGGGAAATAAGATCAAAGAGGGCTTCCGTGTGAATAAGGTCTACAGCTCTGGTAAATGAACCCTGTGCTAGTCTTTTCTCGAACTGTTTAAATTCACTGATAGCAGCGACCACCTATTAGACTTAATATTAGGCTAGGATCAACTGACAGCATTGGACTAACTCATTATTTGGCAATTATCTTTTCCTTTCTGACGAGGCTCCTGAAGAAAAAAAATGTCAAGGACACAGTAGCTGTGACATCTTTCAAAATTGCATATTATTTCTTTGAACGTAACGTTGAACGGCAGACAAAATAATGTCAAAATTGTGATGTCCGGCACATCTTGGCAATGTGTTTGTTGTACGGGTAATTGCAGATTGATCCGCTGGATATTTGGGCTGGCGCCCGTGCGGTTGCCAAGTTTTGCTGTGTTTGCAGACGACAGTGCAAACATAGGGGTTAATAATCGAGCCCTATTCGGGAAGTCTGCTTTAAAGTCAGTGGCTGTAAACGACGTGCTGCTTGAATTTTGAAACTTTTTTTAGCAAATGTGAACTGTGGTTTTTTCAGTTCCTGTCATTTCGTGTAACACACAAGTACCTCAATTGCTACTTTAGTGAAGCGTATAAAACATAATACGCGTATCATTGCATGGTTCTTAGACATCTCATCACAAAGTAAGGCCCTTACGGTTTCAGTGGGTTTTTTTAGCTTTGAGCTGCAAAAACTCGGGGATTGTTACACTATTTCAATTACAAAGATCTTT